AAAAACCAAAAAAAAATATATATATATATATATATATATATATATATATCTGGAAACTACTGCTTTAGACTAATCTTAATATATTTTGACTCTACGGCTGTTTAGTACTGTGGTACAGTGCTCACCTAGCATGAGTGAGGAAGGTCCTGAACATATCTGACATTGTGAAAAACAAAAAAATCTTGATTTTCTTTATTTTGGGTGGGATGTTACTGGAGATCAATACGATCTGACTTTTAATTTGTTTAACATTTTATTTCTGCGCTAGAGGTTTTGCTGGTCTGAAAGTTAATAATTAGCCTTTTTACATGGGCTATTGTAAAAAATGTAAAGAAATCACTTTTTATGTTTGCTAATATATGCTGTCCCCCCAGTTATTTTATTTTTCTTCTCAGATTTTGAAAGGTGAATGCCTCTTGGACCTTTCCAGTTTTACTGATAATAGGTAATTATTTAAAGCTGGGTGTGGTAGTGCACACCTGTAATTGTAGTATTTGGGACTTGTTGGCAGGGGGATCAGGAGTTCAAAGCCGGCCTTGGCTGCATAGTCAGTTTGGGGCCAGCCTGGGCTATATGAGAGCTTAACTTAAGAAAACAAACAAAACGTAAATACCTAGTACAAATGATGTCTGGCATATCACAGACTGGCAATAATGGTTTGTTGAAATTTGTTAAATGAAACATTAAATATCAAGATGACTTCTCCAAATTCAATTTCTCTTTGCTTCAATGGAATTGAATTGACATTGTCACTAAGTCTTTTTGACCAAATGCATTTAAGGAAACATTGGTACTTGAAATAGCTATACTCCCCTGAGAAACTCAGAAATACACCTGCTGTATTTGATTTATATTCTTTCATTAATACATTGAGAATGCCTATATTTCTAAGCCACTGTTGGTTCCTCAGTAATCAGATACTTTCTTTTTCTGATTAGCTTCACTATTTTAAGATTAAGCATATATTCTCCTTTAACTTGTACTTCAAAGTAATGATAGCTGTAAATGTCATGAATGTTCGTAATCAGGTAGGACCTCTGCTGATAACAGAGTAAATAAAGAACAAAGTCATCAGCTTTCCCAAGCTGCAGATGAAATCTCCCTCAGGCTGAGATAAATTTGTTGTATTATAACACAGTTTTATTCTGGCAGCAAAGCAGTGAACAAGGAGTATGAAGAATATGTTCTAACTGTTGGTGACTTTGATGAGAGGATCTTTTTGGGAGCAGATGCAGAAGAAGAAATCGGAACACCCCGAAAGTTCATTGGCGATACCCCATTTGGGAAACTGACATCGCAGGCCAATGTGGAATGTAACCTTCAACAGCACTTTGAAAAAGTAATATAACCTAGCCTGGCCTCAGTATTGAATATTTGTCTTTCTCTGTGTGGGTCTACTAACAGCAGAGGCATCTTTCAAGTTATATCTTGAGTGTCTTCTACTAATTTATATTTCCCCTGAAAACCTTAAAAGGTAATTTTTAAACTATGGCACTTATTCTTGCTATTAAACATTTTATATACATTTCCAAGCATACCCGGCTTCATCATAATATGTGGCTTTTGACATCAAATTTATCCCTTCTTACCAGTCTCTTCGCTTCAGCTTAGCTTGTGTTATGTGGCTTTAAAATTTACTTTCCTACCCTTGACACAAACTATGCTTTTCTCTGATTTGAGCTATATAACTGTAGACTTGATTATTAATGACTAAGGCTTAATTCCAGATTTATGTGTGAAATTGGTTGGAGGACAAAGGCTAATGGAAAATTCACTCATGCAGGCGGTGGAAAACCTGTTTCTGAGCTCATGACTTAACTGTTAGCACAAACAAATTTTTTACTTATCTTTGCCTATTTCTTTATGTGTAAAATTAAAATAGATACACATTAAATCACAGATGGATTTTGAAGTAAAATGAGATTATAAAGTATTCAGTTGTACACATGTTACTAATATAGTATTACTTGAAAAGGAAGGAAAGTGATGTACCTCTAAATATGAACGGAGAAGGTGGGGCATACCCTGTATTAGACATATGATAAGGGGGAAAGTAATGCTTTAATCTCATAAATTTTTCTTTTCTGACAGAAAAGGTCATTTGCACCTTCTACCCCGCTTACAGGACGGCGGTATTTACAAGAAAAAGAGGCAGTCACTACTCCTGTTGCTTCAGCCACTCAAAGTGTGAGCCGTTTGCAGAGTATTGTGGCCGGACTGAAAAATGCACCAAGTGAACAGCTAATAAGTATTTTTGAGTAAGTCTAATATTGTTATTTTTCTAAATGTCTTGTTAAGGTGACATTCTGGATTCCATTCTGTTTTCAATATGTACAGAATTTTTGAGATTCTGGGTGCATATGTGGCAAGTTTTACTGTATCATTTCAACTATAAAATATATTGATCTCTATGAGGGTGTGGTGGCACACCTTTAATCCTAGCACTCAGGATGCAGAGGCAGATAGGTCTGTGTGAGTTCAAGGCCATTCTGGTCTACATGGCAAGCTGGGGCTACAGGGAGACCCTGTCTCAAAAAGACCAAAAAACACTCTCTCTCTCTCTCTCTCTCTCTCTCTCTCTCTCTGATCTTCAGGCAGAAGTACCTACGGAAAATTATATAATGTTATTCCACAGAATTACAGGCTTTCAAGCATGTCTTCAAGTTTATTTGGTGTTGATAGTCCTCTTTTGTCAGCCTTCCTGAGTTATTCATGTGTTTTCTTTTTTTTAGTTGATTATATTTCTTTTTAAAATTTTGTATTTATTTATCTATCTACTTATCTATTTATTTATTGGGGCGAGGTTGTACTTGTGCCTTGGTATATTTGTAAAAGTCAAAGGACAGCTTGTGGGAGTTGGTTCTCTTCTTCCACCATGTGGGTCCTGGGGATCGAACTCCGGTTGTTAGACTTGCCACATTCCTTACCCACTGAGCCATCTCACTGGCCCTTAAGTTGACTTTAACTGAATTCCACCTAAGTGCCCATCAAAGGGGAGATTGATTACATATTGGAGGTGTGAATATAAAGTGGAATTTTATGGAATTTTTTTTAAAGTATGTTTTCTGGTAAAGATGGTAGAATAAAGCGAGATTGAGATCTTTGTTTTTTAATACCTAATGAAATAGGAGGATAATGAGAATCAGCAACAGTAATGACCAGCAGCTGCCACTGAGGAAAGAGATATGATTTCATGTTACAAACTTCCAAATTAATAGTCAAGAAAGGAAATAAATAGTTCTGATATACCCATCCCTAAGAAATGGTACCAAAGATGGGATGTGTTAATAGAATTTGTTTTGGTCTTTTTGAGACAAGACCTCCCTGTAGCCCCAGCTGGCCTAGAACTTACTATGTAGACTAGACTGGCCTCGAACTCACTAGAGATCCACCTGCCTCTGCTGGGATTAAAGGCACATGCCACCACATCCAGCTGTGTTAATAGACTCTTAACCATGCTCTTTAGTATTCCACACAGGGCTCTTTACTTCATCTTTCCATGCCACCATAGTAGTATACATGAATGTCGTAGATGATGCTCTCAAAAACATTACCAATGCTGAAAAGAGGCAAAAGCAATGCCCTTATTAAATCATGCTGCAGCCAGATATGATGGCATATGCCTGTAATTCTAGCACTTGGATGTTGAAGGCAGGAAGATAGGAGTCTAGTGCCAGCCTCAGCTATATAGTGAGTTTGGGGACAACCAGGACTATGAGACCCTGTCTTAAAAATAAGCAAAACAGGGCCGGGCGTGGTGGCACATGCCTTTAATCCCAGCACTCAGGAGGCAGAGGCAGGTGGATCTCTGTGAGTTTGAGGCCAGCCTGGTCTACATAGTGAGTTCCAGGACAGCTGGGGCTACAGGGAGACCCTGTCTCAAAAAGACCAAAAAATAAAAATAAAATAAAATAAAAGTCAACTTTCAGGGTCTGCAGCAATAGCTCAGTTGGTAAAATTACCTGAGTTTGGTTCCCAGAAAACATGTAAAAAGGCTGGGCATAAAGCAGCAACTACAACAAATCCCTGCACTTAGAACTCAGAAACAGGCAGATCTCTATGTTATTGAGGCCAGCCTGGTCTACATAGTGAGTTCAAGGCCAGCTGGGGCTACTGGGAGACCCCGTCTCAAAAGGAGGAGGTGCGAGAGCAGAAGCTGGGCATGCACATATAAGTCCAACACTGGGAGACAGAGCTAGGAGGAGCCCTGAGACTTAGGTCAGCCAGTCTAGACTAATCTGAGAGCCCAGGCCAGTGAGAGATACTGTCTGAAAAAAACAAGGAGTACACTTGTGCACACACACACAAAATAAAAAAGTTGTGCTTCAAAGTCATTTTCTAAATGATGATGAAGCATAGTTACATTGGCAAATTTGTAGTCACTGATGATCACAGGGCTAGCAGAATTATAGCAAGCCCCATAGGCAGAGTAAATAAGTATAGAGTAATAGTCTGAGATTTGATGTGTACCTGGGGCTACAGGGAGACCCTGTTTAAAATCACCACCATAAAAAGTAAAAATTGGGGGGCTGGAGAGATGGCTCAACAGTTAAGAGCACTGACTGCTCTTGCAGAGGACCCGGGTTCGATTCCCAGCACCCACATGGCGGCTACGAACCGTCCTTAACTCCAGTTCCAGGGGAATCTGAAGCCCTCTTCTGATGTCTATGGCATTGCACAACATGGGTGTACTTACATACACACAGGTAATACTCTCAATACACATAAAATAAAAATAATAAAATATGTTTTTAAAGTAAAAGTTGGATTATCATATGACTGTTAATACCACTTCTAAAAATACATCCAAAAGAATTGAGAATAGTTTTTTTTTGGGGGGGGGCGTCTTTTTGAGACAGGGTCTCCCTGTAGCCCCAGCTGGCCTGGAACTCACTATGTAGATCAGGCTGGCCTTGAACTCACAGAGATCCACCTGCCTCTGCCTCCCGAGTGCTGGGATTAAAGGCGTGCGCCACCATGCCTGGCTACATATACATTTTTTGTATTTTATTTATTATATTTATTTTATATGTATGAGTGTATTGCCTGCATGTATGTGAGTGCACCCATGTTGTGCAATGCCTCAGAGGTCAGAAGAGGGCTTCAGAGTCCCCTGGAACTGGAGTTAAGGACAGTTCATAGCTGCCATATGGGTGCTGGGTATCGAACCTGGGTCCTCTGCAAGAGCAGTCAGTGCTCTTAACTGCTGAGCCATCTCTCCAGCCCCAAATTCATAATATATTTAATATGCAGTATTTTTACATATGAAAATTTACTTTTTAAGTTAATTTTATTATAAAAATTATTGGGTCTACATACCTTCACTGAGTGTCATTTTACACATATAAAGCTTTGTTCACATTTGTAGGCTCATAACTGAAAATAGAATTTTGGCCACTTAAAACCATACTAATTGTTTTTTGAGAGCTTTGTCCTGGTTTTTTTTGTTTGTTTGTTTGTTTGTTTTGTAAATCTTGTTTTTATTTGTTGTTGTTTAGGGTTTTTTATTATTATCATTTTTTAAACAGACCTGTAGCCCTAGCAGGCCTGGAACTCTCTGCATAGATTAGACTGACTTTGCTCTTGCAGAGATCCACCTGCCTCTGCGCCCAGAGTGCTGGGATTAAAAGTGTGCACCACCAAGCTTGGCACCCAGGCTATCTTGAACTCATGAACCTTCTGCTTTAGCATCCCCAGTGCTGGAATCACCAAATGTGCATGTATGTGTGTCTGTGTGTCTATGTGATCGGGGATCATACTTAGGATCTTACTTAGGATCATACTTAGGCAAACATTCCCTTACTGAGCTGCATTCCAACCATAAACTGCTTCTTGAAGGGAGAAATGTTAGTAATCTAGGTTTTTTTCCTGATAAGTAGATTCCTCTTGTATTTTGTAGATCTTGTATGCGGAATCCCATGGAAAACATTATGAAAATAGTGAAAGGAATAGGAGAGACTTTCTGTCAACATTATACTCAGTCAACAGATAAACAGCCAGGATCTCACATGGGTAAGAGGAGAAAAAGTTGGCACAGCATTATAAATATAAAGCATGTACTTCAATTTAGACTTTTTTTCCTTCCCTTACTCTTAATGTACCACATTTAAATTTATATGTTTTGCTCTTTAGTCATTAACTAGATTTCAGTAGCACATGCTTTTCTTTTATTTCCCTTTAGACTTCGCTGTAAACAGACTAAAGCTGGCAGAAATTTTGTATTATAAAATATTAGAGACTGTAATGGTTCAAGAAACACGAAGACTTCATGGAATGGACATGTCAGTAAGTAAATCTCCTCTCCCAGTCATTGGCAAGGTATGAGTCCTACTAGAGAAGTAATGTTTTAAGAAAGAGGCTGAATAGGGCATTACGGGGATCAGAGTTTGTGACAGACTTGGCCAACAGGATTGCTTATTTCCTTGGTTGATGTTGAGACATCCAGACTATCTTTTTGAGACAGGGTCTCCCTTGTAGCCCCAGCTGGCCTGGATTTACTATGGAAACCAGGCTGCCCCTGAACTCACAGAGATCCCCCTGCCTCTGTCTCCCAAGTGCTGGGATTAAAGGCATGCGCCACCACATCGAGCAAAAAAAAAAAGGTTTTTTAACATTTGACCAAGTCTGATCATTCCAAGAGCTACTAAAATTTTTTCTTTCTTGTTTTTTGCATTTATTATATAAAAATCTCTCTCCCCTTCTGTTTGCTTGCTTTTTTGTTTTCTTAGGGGTTGCTTGAACATTTTTTAGGCTGTATCTCTTTGTGGGGGTTTTCTTTTTTTTTCTTTTGTGGTTGTTGTAGGCATTTTATACATGACTTTCTGTCTACTGGTATAGACAGTCAACCAATTAAAGTACAAAGTAGAGACCTCATTTTATGTTTTTAAAGACTGCATAAATGTTATTATTGACTCACATGATTGATAGTTGTCTGTGTATTTCTAGATTTCCTTTATGACTTTGAAGACATTACTCCATTATCTTCTAGCTTCTCATGATGTTGGTTAGTAAGTTCAGTGGCATCTGATTCTTAGCTACTGACATGTAACTGGTGTTTCAGGAATCTTTCAGACAGTGTCTCTGTATATCCCAAGCTGGCCAGGAACTTGATATTTGGCTCAGGCTAGCCTTGAACTATGATCCCACTGCTTCAGCCTTTCTGGAGTTTTTCAGTATCTCCTTTTTATCACTGATGTGAAATTTATAATAATGTACTTTTTTTGTTTGGTTGGTTTTGGTTTTAGTTTTTTGAATAGGGGTCTCACTATTTACCCCTGGCTGGCCTGGAACTTGCTGTGTAGACCAGGCTGGCCTTGAACTCACAGAGATCCATCTGCCTCTGCCTCCTGGGTACTGGGAATAAAGGCGTGCACCACCACACAGGACCTTTGTCTTTGTTTTTTGTTATTGTTGATACAGGGCCTTATGTAGCCCATGTTGGCTCCTAAGTCACTGGGTAGTTGAGGATAGACTTGAACTTCCTCTTCTTCCTGCTTCTACCTTCCAAGTGTTAGGATCATAGGCATGTATCACCATGCCCAGTTTATATGGTGGTAGGGTTTGAATCCAGGGCTTTGTGCATGCTAGGCAAGCACTCTACCAGCTGAGCTACATCCCTATCCCCCATGTGCATTTTTTTTTTTTTTTGGTCTTTTTTGAGACAGGGTCTCCCTGTAGCCACAACTAGTCTGAAACTAGATGTATAGACCAGATCTCACAGAGATCCATCCACCTGTCTCCCAAGTGCTGGGATTAAAGGTGTGCACCAACAGACCCAGCTCCTTGTGCATTTTTTGTAGGTTTTTTGTTGTTATTTTGGGTTGTTTGTTTTTTGTTTTTTCTTTTTGAGACAGGGTATAGCCCTAGCTGGCCTGGCACTTGCTCTGTAAACCAGGCTGGCCTAGATCTCACAGAGATATGCCTGCCTCTGCTTCCCAAGTGCTGGGATTAAAGGCGTGTGCTACCACGCCCAGCTGTGGGTTTTATATTTAAGCATTGGGCATTCCTACAAAGCTATCTTTTTCATCTAGAAATTTATATCCTGTGATTCATGGTGTTTGCTGTTTTATTATTGTGTAGTGCTTTGTTTTATGAACTCAGGGCCCTGCATATACTTGGCAGGTGTCCTCCCACCAAGCTATCTTAATATTTTTCATTTCTTTTTTATTCTCTGAGATTAATTATATTCATTTGATGTTTTGTTCCATTGTCCAATATTTTTCCTCTGAATGTATGTTTTACTTTATATATTTCAATGAGAGGTCCTCTGCAATGTTGGGGTTAGTAGTCCATTTACATTTAAACCTAGGTCCTCTGCAAGAACAGTGAGTGTTCTTAACTGCTAAGCCATCTCTCCAGCCCTGAGAAGTATAATTTTTTGCGGTACTGGGCCTATAGCCTGATTATCCTATTATTTATGATTATCTAACGTAGTATTTCACAGGTTATTTTATCTGGTGCTTATAGTTCACTTTATATAATCTAGATTGGTCTCCACCCTTGCTTTACAGCTCAAGCTAACCTTGAACTCCAATCATCCTGCCTCAGCTCCCAAGTGCTGGGTTATATTTTTTTTTTCTAGACTGGCAAAGGTTGAAATTACTGAGAAATAGTAACCTCTGATCCTTTTCTTCTCCAAGGTTCTCCTAGAGCAAGATATATTTCATCGTTCCTTGATGGCTTGTTGTTTAGAAATTGTGCTCTTTGCCTATAGCTCACCTCGTACTTTTCCTTGGATTATTGACGTTCTCAATTTGCAACCATTTTATTTTTATAAGGTAAGATGACAGCAAAGTTCTATTATAGTATAGCGCACACAAACATTGTGTTTATATTAATGGTGAAGAAGGACAGTCATGATATCTAAATGATAGTCTTACAAGTGTTCTGATAATATTTATTCCTTTTGTGTGTAATTGAAGACAAAGGGGAAGAATGTTAATATTGGTACATTAAGCCAGTTTCATAGCTTGAGTTCGTTTGTAAACACTGACTTGCAAATGTGACCTAGCACTCAGTACTTAAGTTCAGATTTTCTGTGGTTACGAATGAAAATCACAAACCTATTAAACAGATGCATGACAAAGAACAAGAATAAATTTTTTAGAGGAAATTGATTCTATGTGCTGTATTTACTTTAATGTTAATGTGTGTAGTCAGATTTTCCCATTTGGCAAATGTTTAGTTTTTGCCTATAACTTAATAGCAGTTAGGGTTGGAATTATGTTTTTCTGGTGCTAAAACTTGAACCCAGGTCCTATGTACTCTATTACTGAGTTACAGTGCTAACTATTCATTTTTATTTGAAGCATCTTTACTCCATTCAAGAATCTAAAATCTCTGGGGGTTTGGGGCAGTTTTGTTTTAGTTGTTTGTTTTAGCATTCTTGATTGTTTTGCTATGTAGCCCTTGCTGACTTTCAGTTCATGATCCTCCACCATCCCCAGATCAACATGCCCCATCCCCAACTCACTTCCCCCCGCTTTTTGTTCAGTGTTGGCATCAAACCCAGGACCTTGAACATACTAGTCTATACCTGTGCTATACTTCAGCTCTTAAATGTTTGGCTTTTGCTTGATGGTTTGTGGCCAGATCTTGCTCTGTATCCCAGACTGGCCTTTAATTTAGTCTTCTTGCCTCAGTCTCCTATATCTCTCTCTTTTTTTTTTTTTTTTTTTTTTTTTTTTTTGTAACTGTGTAAGTAATATATGGTTGAAGAAAATTAGAAAGTAAGAAAGTATACATAAATGTTCTGGGAGCTCCAGGCCAGCTGAAGCTACAGGGAGACCCTGTCTCAAAAAGACCAAAAAAAAGTATACATAATGTAACTTAAAATTACATACATATTATAGTTACTATTATTAACTGCTATTAATATATTTTATGTGTGAGCCAGGTGTGGTGGTACATGCCTTTAATCCCAGCACTAGGGAGGGAGAGGTAGGCGGATCTCTGTGAGTTCAAGTCCAGCCTGGTCTACATAGTGAGTTCCAGGACAGCTGGAGCTACAGGGAGAACCTGTCTCAAAAAGACCAAAATGAACTATAGTATATATGAAAAGTTACTTTTGTAAAAGGGCCTGATTAATTCACTTTATTTTCTTGTATTAAAAACCCTATGTCTAAGCACTAGAATCATTAACCATTAGATATTTTCTTAGAGAAGAAGCTTACAGTTATTTTCAAATAGTTTAGTCATTCTGTTCTTTTGAGATTTTGAGAAGGGGCAGCAAATTCAGAAAAAACTAGGCTGGAAACATAGGACCCAATTTCTACCACTTTTGAGCTGTTCAGTTTTTACGCATTGGGTCAATTTTTCATCTACTAAAAAAGACATAAGGGACTGGAGAAATAGCTCAGCGGTTGGGAGTGCTGGCTGCTCTTGTGGAAGACCTGGGTTCGATACCCAGCACCACACAGCTGCTACGAACCATCCTTAACGCCTGTTCCAGGGAAATCCAAAGCCCTCTTCTGACCTCCGTGGCATTGCACAACACAGGTGCACTCACATACATGCAGGCAATGCACTCATACACATAAAGTAAAAATAATAAAAATTGGAATGGCCACATGCCTGTAGTTCCCACACTTGGGAGATGGAAGCAGGAGGATCAGAAGTTTATTCTTGCCTACATAGTGAATTCAAGGCCAGACCCTGGCTCAAAAAACAAAACAAAACCACAAACGACAACTACCACAAACAGACCCAAAAAAGGACTTGAAAAACAGAAATGATGTTTGTAATTATATTTTACTTACTTTAATTTGGTGCTGGGGATGGAACCCAGGGTCTTGGACATACTAGGCAAGTACAGTTCCTCTGGTCTCTATCCCTTGTATGTGGTAATTTGTTTTTCTTTTCATGTGCCTCTGTGTGTTTTGCATGTGGTTGGGTACAGTGTTTGTGTGTGGACATACATGCACTTTTGGGCATGTGCATGTGGGAGACCTCAAGTTGATGTCCAGAATCTTCCTGAGTCTCTCTTGCACCTTATTATTTTGAGGTAGAGTCTCTTAATCAAACTCAGAGCTTGCCAATGCAGCTAGTCTTGCTAGCCAGCTTTCTCCAGGGATCCTGCCTCTGCCTTCCAAGGCTGGAATTACAGGTGGACTGCCATTCTGACCCAACATTTATGTGTGTTCTGGGGATTTGAACTCTGGTTACTTTCATGGAAAGTAACTGGAGAGCCATCTCCACACCTTTATACGTGCATATATATTAGTCTTTTTGAAGCAGGGTCTCTCTGTGGCCCCAGCTGTCCTGGTACTCACTATGTAGACCAGGCTGGCCTTGCACTCACAGAGATCTGCCTGCCTCTGCCTTCCAAGTCCTGGGACTACAGGCGTGTGCCACCATGCCCAGCTTGTATGTGGTAATATTTTTAAAGACTTAACATCATCTTATATTTTATTAGATTTAAAGATAGCAGTCCGGGCTGGAGAGATGGCTCAGTGGTTAAGAGTACTGGCTGCCCACATGGCAGTTAACCCACATGGCAGTAACTCCAGTTCCAGGAGATCTGATGCCCTCTTCTGACTTCTCTGGGCATTGCATGACACGGGTATACCTACCTATATGCAAGCAATACACTCATACACATAAAAATAATAAATATTTTTTAAGATAGCAATCTACAGAATTATGGCTTAAATATGGTTCTGTGTTTTTTTTAAAGATACATATATATATGTATGTTCTATGTGACAGAGGAAGGCTGCAGTCATGCTTGCACACCCAGACCAGTGATTGCTTGTTAATTTTATTGCCATTTCAATTTCACCTCTCCAGGTTATTGAGGTGGTGATCCGATCAGAGGAGGGGCTCTCCAGAGATATGGTGAAACACCTGAACAGCATTGAAGAGCATATTTTGGAGAGTTTAGCTTGGACCAATAATTCTGCACTATGGGAAGCTCTCCAGGCTTCTGCAAACAAAGTTCCTACATGTGAAGAAGTGAGTCAGAGCAAGGCCAATAGCACCCTAATTTTTAAAAAATGAGCCTTACCAAAATATAATTCATATATCATACCATTCACTGTGCTAACGTGCCTGGTTCACTGGGTTTTAGTATCAAAAAATTTATCAAAACAATTTTAGGCCATAGTTATTATCTCAGTTAGAATCCCACAATCCTTAGTTATCACTTCTCCCTTCCCTTTTCTTTTCCCCCTTATCAATCACTTAATCCACTTGCTAGCTCTATAGATTTGCATATTCATATAAGTAGAATCACAATTTCATGATGTCTGACTTCTTTCACTTGGTGTAATGTTTTTTGTTTTTTTATTTCTTTTTGAAGCAGGGTCTCCCTGTAGTCCAGCTGACCTGAACTCACTATGTAGACCAGGCTGGCCTTGAACTCACAGAGATCCACTTGCCTCTGCCTCCTGAGTGCTGGGACTACAGGCGTGCGCCACCACGCCAGGCTTGGTGTAATGTTTTTAAAGTTCATCTATATTGCAGCATACATCAGTAGTTTGTTCCCTTTTGCAACCTCCACTGAATAGGTATGCCACATTTTATTCATCCATTTGTCATTTGATAGACATTCAGGTTTCTGCCTCTTGGCTTTTATGATCATTCCTGCATAAGGTCTTATGTGGACATGTTTTTTTATTCTGGGTCACATTGCAATTGCAAGTGTGTTGAAGCTTTTAGTAAAGTGTCAGACTACTTTTTAAAGTGACTGCACCTTTGTTCTTAGTACACTGTGTGTTCCCACCATCAGTGTGTAAAGATTCTAGTTGCTCATCATCCCTGCTCTCACTTGTTGTCTGTTTCTGACCCAGCTAATAGTTCAACATCTTTTCATATGTTTATTATCCATTTATATTGTTTTTTTGGTGAAATGTCTAATCAGATCCTTCTAGGATCCCTCCTTCCTCTCTCTCCTTTTCTCCTTTGTGAAGAAACCATTAGTCTCAGCATTTACAATTTTCACATATTGGGGCTAGAGAGATGACTCAGTGCTTAAGAGTACTTGCTGCTCTTGCAGGGGACCCAAGTTCAGTTGCCAATACCCACAACTGCTTATAACTCCAGCTCTAGGGAACTGACAGCTGACCTCTGTGGGTACCTGTGTACATGTGCACATACACATAAATAAAAATAAAATAAACCTTTTTAAAAGTTTTTACATATTTATATACATATAAAGAGTTGAACACTTACCATCAGTGCTATTTAGAATTTAAAAATCAAAAGTTTGGGACTGGAGAGATTGCTTAGTGGCTAAGAGCACTGGCTGCTCTTCAGAGGACCCAGTTTTAATTCCCAGCCTCCATATGACACCTAACAACCATCTGTGACTCCAGTTCCATGGAATCCAGTTCCCTCTTCTGACCTCCATAGGCATTGTATGCCAGGGATTCACTTACATACATGCAGGCAATACATTCATACGTATACAGTAAAAATTACAATTTTTCTTTGCAGTTTGATGTGTGTAATTACCAAGTACACTCTAGAACTTTAGCAACATCTTAAGAAATATATGAGTTCTGAAGAAACTAAAATCTAGAGCAGGCATGGTGGCACACATCTGTAATACCAGCACTTAGGAGATGAAGGCACAAGTAACAGGAGTTCAGGGCCAACCTGGGTCACATGAGACTGTCTTTAAACAATAAAAATCTCTTTTGAAAGTGAAAAAAAATACAAAGTCTATCAAAATGTCTCTTATCATTAACCATAAACAGGTAAGTACTGTTACATAAATTAATCCATTTATTGTATGCTGGGGATGTCCCAAACAGCAGCACTTCTGCTGGTCTTTCAGTTCCTTCAGTCTTCTGATGGCAGACTTGACTATGATGGCAGAAGTGGTGTTGTAGGTCCAGGCTCCAACCAGCCACTATTCTCATACAGGAACCACAGTGCCAGATACCAACAGCCCATCTCTTCATCTTGGTCTTGCCTCAGAAGGAGCAAGTATACTTGGCCTGCTGGCTGATTTCAATCTTCTTCACCATTTTCTGGAGGGAGGCTCCATAGTGGGTTTGGTATTTACCCATGATCCAGACCTTCTTGGTGCATTTGGCCATGTCGCTGGGACCTAGGCCTGATCCTGGAGAGGAAGAAGTGCAGTGCGCAGGCCTAAAATATTTTTTTAAATCAAAAGTTTGGGGTGAGAAAGTTTTATACAAGTCACATGTTCAAAAGCTTGATTTCGTATGAGGTTTTTTCTTCCACCTCTCTAGTGTTCTTTTGAAACTCATGTCTTTTTATCTTTCTTTGCTATTCTGTGTCTCCTTATGTTTTCTTAATCTTCTGGAATTTTCCCTAATTCCATACTACTGGAAAAACTGCCTAAGACTAGTAAATATTTTAAAAAGGCAATTTCTTGGTCAGTTGTCAGTATTTATCAGTATATGTCAATTGTTTTTTTTTGTTTGTTTGTTTGTTTTTGAGGCAGGGTCTCCCTGTAGTGGGGCTGGCCTGGAACTCACTATGTAGACCATGCTAGCGTTGAACTTACAGAGATCCACCTGTGTCTGCCTCCCAAGTCCTGGGACTAAAAGTGTGCGCTATCATGCTCAGAGTATATGTCAGTTGTAAAATTCATTTAGAAAATGAGAAAAAAAAGCTATGAACTTGAAGGAAAGGAATTTGAATTGAAATCCTGCTCTTAGGACTTGGTAGTCTTATACTGATGGGAAAATTCCCGTCACATTTTGTGCCTCAATTTTCTCACCCCTAATGGAGGATGAGAATGCCAGTTTCGGAGAGTTACTTATAAAGGTCAGTAGCATATGTAGATAAATGATAAGATTAAGTGAAATGAGCTCCTTTTATATATTTAACAGTATTATCAATTGAGCATTTTATGCAAGTTATATTTTGTGAAAAAGTAAGAAGGAAGACAAAATAAAATATGTTTTTCCACTCTCATTTTTGCAAGTTTTGATCACTGGTCAAAACTTTCGTCTGTGTTATAAAAACTGTTTTGTTTTCTATAGGTTATATTACCAAATAACTTTGAAATAGGAAATGGAGGAAATGTACCAGGACATCTCCCCATGATGCCAGTGTCTCCAATAATGCATCCAAGAGTTAAGGAAGTTCGGACTGACAGTGGTAGTCTTCGAAGGGGTAGGTAACAGTGGTAAAATAATGAAAAACGCCAACATTCTTTTAAGAAAAAAATTTCAAATCTCCATTATATTTTACATATATATTTGGGGGGGGAGGTTGGGTTTTTTTGTGTTGTTTGTTTGTTTCTTTTCTTTTCTTTTTGAAACAGAGTCTACCTGTAGCCCCAGCTGACCTGAAACTCACTATGTAGACCAGGCTGGCCTTGAACTCACAGAGATCCACCTGCCTCTGCCTCCCAAGTGCTGGGACTAAAGGCGTGTGCCACCACACTTGGCTTCATAATACATTATTAAAGATACCTAATTTCTTCATCAGGATTTGACAAGAAACTTAATAACTAATACCTTTATGTGCCATCTTGTGTGTTTTCTTCATAGTAAAAGGATTTCTGGGCTGGAAATGATGGCTCATGCCTTTATTCCCAGCATTTAAAAGTAAAGGTAAGTGAATCTCTGATTTCAAGTCCTGCCTGGTATACAAAGCAAGTTCTAGACCAGCCAGGGCTATATAAGACCCTGTCTCATAAAAAGAAAAGCAATTCTGGCCTGGGGAGATGGCTCAGTGGATAGTAGAACAATTCTGACAGCCTGAATTTGATCCCCAGGACCCATGTGGTGGAGGGTGAGGACTAATTCTTTCAGGTCATCTTCCGACTTCCAGTTGAGGGCCATGTCATGCACCCCCCTCCCCAGCCCCACTAAGTAGGTAATTTAAAAGAATTTTTTAAAATTTTTCTGTCTTGATTTTGAATATGAAGTTTTGGTCTGTGTGTGTGTGTCCATGTATATATGCATATGCATGTGCCTAGGGAGGGGTGCATACATGTGAAGGCTTGAGGACAATGTCAGGTATTGTTCTTTAGGTTCAGTCTACCCTGGTTTTTGAGACAGGGTCTTTCACTGGCCTGGAACTCACCAAGTAAACTAGTCTTACTAGCCAATGAACCACAAGAGATCCTCCAGTTTCCACTTCTCCACTGCTGGGGTGACTGGTAGATGCCATCATACTTGACTTTTTTATTTTTTCATTTTTTTATTTTATGTGTATGAGTGTATTGCCTGCATGTGTGTGAGTGCACCCATGTCGTGCAATGATGCGGAGGTCAGAAGAGGGCTTTAGAGTCCCCTGGAACTGGAGTTAAGGACGGTTCATAGCTGCCATGTGGATGCTGGGAATCAAACCTGGCTCCTCTGCAAGAGCAGTCAGTGCTCTTAACCGCTGAGCCATCTCTCCAACCCCATACCTGACTTTTTAAATGTGAATTCTAGGATCAAACTCATGTCTTTGTGTTTGCAAGGTAAATACTTTACTGATTGAGTTAGCTCCTCCTCAGCCCATATTTTTTATTTTTAAATTGTTTTATTTTAATTTTGTTTATTTACTTATTTTTATTTTATGTGTATGCGTGTTAGGCCTGCATGCTTGTGAATGCACCCATGTCCTGCAGTGTGGAGGTCAGAAGAGGGCATCAGATTCCCATGGAACTGGAGTTATAAACTGTTGCTAGCCACCATGTGGGTGCTGGGATTTGAACCGAATTCTCTGCCAGAACAGCCAGTGCTCTTAGCCACTGAGCCATCTCTCCAGCCCAATGCACTCTTGAATTTTTAAAATAGTTAAGAAAAACCTCAGCTGTTCTACTGTTACTTTGCAATGTACTAAATAAACTTACTGTTTTGGCTTGAGTTTTGTTGTTGTTGTTTTGTATTTTGTTTTGTTTTATAACCCCAGCTGGCCTGGAACTTTCTCTGTAGACCAGGCTTTTCTGCAACTTGCTATGTAGACCAGACTGGCCTCAATCTCACAGAGATCTGCCTGCCTCTGCCTCCCAAGTGTTGATATTAAGGCAAGTACCACCATGCCTGACTATACATTTTAGGCTGGGGGTGAGATGAGAGAGGGCAAAATCTCACCCCACAATCCCACAGTAACTCTGAACAACCTCAGATGACAAGTATTGAACTTACAAGTTACATAGTAGCTCTGTATCCATTTTTGAACTCTGTATCTCTGTGTATATATAGTCTTGATTCCTACCTTTAATCCCAGCACTCCAGAGGAGGCAGAGGCAGGTGGATCTCTGTGAGTTTGAGGCCAGCTTGGTCCACATAGTGAGTTCCAGGCCAGCTGGGGCTAAAGACCAAAAAAAAGAGCGATTATGGAAACTGAATGCAAGCCAGATTAATCAGAGAGAATAAGTATCATTGTTTTGTGACCTTAGCATGTTTTGTTAAAATATTAAAAGCTCAGGGGCCCATGAGATGGCTCAGCAGATGTAAAACCCTTACCTTGAAAGTCTGATGACTCTAACTTCAAGGCTCAGAACTACCACATAAAGATGAAAGGATAAAGTGATGCCACAAACTTGTCCTATGATTTCCACACATGCACCATGGCACATGTGTGTCCCTCCCCTACATATACACACAATAATAATAAATATAAATAAATTTTTAAATGTTAAAAGCTCTTCATACTATTGGTTATTAATATTTATAAAAGTTAAAAAGTAAGAAAAATATCTTGATATACTTTAAGATATCTAAAACTTTTTTTTATTCTTTTTAATTTACCAGGAATGGCTGAGCTTGTAGCTCAGTAGGAGAGCACTTGCTTAGCATGGCATGAGGTTCTGGGTTTGATCCCTAGTACCACAAAACAAAACACCCAGAATAATTTAAATCTGCTTGCTGCCTTCTCATAATCACTTATAACAGAGCATCTTTTCTATGCCTTGGCATCATGTTTCTTAAATGTGAATTATTTGTTTTTTTTTAATATTTTATTTTTATTTTATGTGTATGCATGTATTGCCTCATGTAGGTAAGTGCACTTGCATCATACAATGCCCAAGGAGGACAGAACAGGCTGTCAGATCCCCTGGAACTAGAGTTAAAGACAGTTGTTAGCTGCCATGTAGGTGCTGGGATTTGAACCTGGGTCTCCTGCAAGAACAGTGTTCTTCTTTTTTTTTTTGGTCATTTTTTGAAGCAGGATCTCCAGCTGTCCTGGAACTCACTCTGTAGACCAGGCTGGGCTTGAACTCGCAGATACCCGCCTGCCTCTTCCTCCCAGGTTCTGGGACTATAGGCGTGCGGCCCCACTCAGTCAGTGTTCTTAACCACTGAGCCATCTCTCCAACCCCAAGTGTGGATAAATTATTTGTATATTCATTAAAATGAATGTCTACCAGGTGGGCATGGTGGCACATGCCTTAAATCCTAGCACTCTGAGGCAGAGGCAGGTGGATCTCTGAGTTCAAGGCCAGCTGGAATTATAGAGAGTGGTGGCGCATGCCTTTAGTCCTAGCACTCGGGAGGCAGAGGTAGACAGATGTCTGCGTTCAAGGCCAGCCTGGTCTACATAGTACCAGGACAGCTGGGGCTACAGGGAGACCCTATCTCAAAAAAAAAAAAAAAAAAAAAAAGAGTGTCTACACATAGTTTTTCCAGTATTTTACTAAGAAAAGGTCATCTCAAGAAGTTTGCAGCTAACTTCATGGCTGTCACTCAAGTCTCTCCTCCACCCATCACTGTTGAACATTCCCAGTCAGGTTCAAGGGCTTCCTTGGCTTCCTTAGCTACAAGGCATCCAGGTAGACTCTTATAAAGGAGCCATGGAAGCTACAAGATTTTTGCAATTGTTTACTGAGAACTGAAGAATTCAGAGCTGCTCTGTGTGTGTGTGTGTATGTGTGTGTGTGTGCTAATTTTTTTAATAGTTTGACTTTAAATATCTTTTTTTTTAACTTTTACAAAAACTGTATTGAGAATTTCCTACATGTATATAAGGTGTTTTGATCAAATCCATGCCCACTCCCCTCCAACATTCACCCCTCTGAAGAGGTAATTCTAAAATCTTTTAAGGATTAGATACAAGCTCCCAAGTACTTTTGACATTTTTGGCCTTTGGAACAGAGTATGTTACTAACAGGCCCAAGGACATTTTGACTTTCAGCCAAGAAACTGGCTACGTTTCTTTGGGTCTTTTTACCCTAACTGCCTAGCCAATTTCTAACTCTTATTTTTATCACACAATCCTCTGAAGAGGTTACCCAAATTGCCAATAGGAAATCAGGATGCAGACTGCTCTGGCTTCTTCCATGCTGAACAGGGACACAGGGTGAGGCAATTGGGGTGCCCCTTCAGTGGTTCTATGAGGCAAGAGTAATTAGCATTACAAGTTCTAGACAGGGAACTAGAAAAAAGTCAGAACAGGGCAATTTCCCAATGTTCATATGAGAGTATTGGAGTTTCTTTTTCTTTTTTTTGGTCTTTTTGAGACAGGGTCTCCCTGTAGCCCCAGCTGTCCTGGAACTCACTATGTAGATCAGGCTGGCCTTGAACTCACAGAGATCCGCCTGCCTCTGCCCCCTGAGTGCTTGGGATTAAAGGCGTGCACCACCACGCCCGGCCCATTGGAGTTTCTTGACAAGGGCTTCCAAAAGCATCCCTCTATTGGGTTCTTTCTTATTTTTCTTTTTTCTTCCAAGGCTGGACTAGTTGGCTTGGAAGAGTGACTGGATACTCAGGTGAGAGTCCAGTGACCCTGCTTGGCTCTCCTTTAATGAATGAGCACAACTGTCAACAAGCCCAATTGTGACTATGTTTAGAGATCAGGCTCAAGCGGAAGTAGTGATGATGGTAGTTATTTCATGCAGAAGGGACTGCTGTATAGCATCATCTTATTAAAAGGACCACCACGTGGAGGCAAAATCCGGGGGCTGTCAGGCAGTCCCCTGGGTTCTCAGGCTCTCTGGTAACTGGAGGCCAGAACCCAGCACTCTCTGGTGGTTTGCTGAGCTCCAAGCCACTACCCCGATCTCAGACCTTCTTTTATAACATGTAGCATTATGGAAAGATTTTTTACTCAACTGCTCCTTCCTCAATCTTCTAATAGCACAGAGCATCTACATCTTTGCTGGGATAATTTTTATGCCCAGGTTTTAAAAGTAGATTCCAGGATACCTTTGCTTTTAAAATACATTACTTGGGACTGGGAGTGTAACTTAGTAGTCGAGTTTGCCTAGCATGCACAAGGCTCTCAGTTTTATCTCTAGTGCTGAAAAAATAAAGCACATTATGCATTATATACTTGTGATAAAGTAGTAGCTTCGGAAAGTGGTGAGAAAATGCAGAAAAAACTATAGGATTGAAACAAACTGGAGAACCTGCATACCTGTTGAGGGAGAGAAGGGGGAATGCACTGCAGATGATAGATAGCACTGGGAGAGGCGTAGCCCGTAATTGTTATTCCATCTGTGCACGTGCACCAGAGTTTGATGTCAGGTTAATTTCTCTATTGCTCTTCATCTTATATTTTGATTCCTAGGGAGCTGCTGGTCTCTCTGTCCCCTCCTTCCTCCCTCAAGGCTTGGGCAGCACTTGGCTTTTTTATGTGGGAGCTTGGGTTCTGAACTCAGGTCCTCATGCTTACATAATGTGCACTTTACTGATTAAGTCATCTCCCTAACCCTTAACCTTACTTTCTTTGGAGCTTTCTCTGGAAGCTCTTGAATAAAGGCAAGGTCAGCACTCATACCACTTTTACTCATGTCTCTTGATGGATATATTAAAGAGAATTCTGTATCTATTAGACCAGAAACCCACATTACTGTCTTAAGTTGCTTGAAGTGTAGACAGTAACAAAACTGTGTGATCCAAAACTCAGTTTTGCGTTTGCCTCCCTTTTTCTCAGATGCTGTTCATTTGCTGGGTGATACTGGGAGACAGAAGCCAATTTGACTACTTAAATTTAGTGGTTATGTTATCTGCCTCAGCCTTTCCTTTTATTCTTAGTGTGCTGCTCTCTCGATACAGGTAGAGGTTCAAGAGTCCAGAAAGATAAGGTATCATCATTCTACATTTTCTTGTAATGGGTTATTTCATGTTTCTTTTGCCAGAGTTGATATTCCATGAGGACAGAAGCCTTGTTACTTCTAGATCCCAGGTGCTTAGCATAGGAATGAGTACACTTGATCTATTATTTTGGAATAATTTTAACTCCTATTTTCCTCTTCATTAGATATGCAGCCATTGTCTCCGATATCTGTCCATGAACGCTACAGCTCTCCTGCTGCAGGGAGTGCTAAGAGAAGACTTTTTGGAGATGATCCCCCAAAGGAAACATTGATAGAGAAGATTATGACAGAAGGAACTAAATTGAAAATTGCGCCGCCTTCTAGCATTACTGCTGAAAGCTTATCAGTTTCACCTGGGCAAGCTCTTCTAACAATGGCCACAACCACAGTAACAGGGACGACAGGACAGAAAATTACAATTCCCTTGCATGGTAATATCTTAATCATATTTTTCTGAGTTACATAAAAATTTAAGAAATGTCTTATTGAATTGGATTACATGATCTTTCTTCTAACTTAATATTTTTTCTTGAACCTAACCTTTTTTAATATTTTATTTATTTTTAAATTATTTTTTATGTGTATGATGTATTGCCTTCTTGTAAGTGCACCTGTGTCATGCAATGTCCACAGAGGACAGAAGAGGCTGTTGGATCCCCTGGAACTGGAGTTACGGACAGTTGTTAGCTGCCATGTGGGTGCTGGGATATGAACCTGGATCTTCTGCAAGAACAGCCAGTGTTCTTAACCACTGAGCCATCTCTCAGACCTGAACCTAAACTTTTTTTTTATTAACCACGTATTTTACAGCAGCTTAAAATTCACAGCAAAATTGAGAGAAAGGTACAGATATTTCTCAGACCTCATACCCTGCCCATCATTATCCCCTTCTCTCTCCCACAGTCTCTGCAGCCATCGACACCTTAAACCATGGTAGTGCATTTCTTAGAATCAGTAGCACATTGTCACTCAAAGTCCACAGTTTACATTAATATTCACTCTTGGTGGTTTACAGATATGGGAAATGTGCAATGACATATGTCTACCTTCATGTCATACATAGTAGTTTTACTGCCCTTAAAGTCTTCTGTGCTCCATCTTTTGTTTTACTTTGAACCTATTCTGATTTTTAATTTTCACATTTTATACATTTACAGCCCTTTTGTTAGGACTTTATCTCATAAATTAGTGTATTGAGGGAGAATTTTGGGGGTTTTTGTTGTTGTTTGTTTAATTATAAACATTTTGAATGCTTTAGAGAGAGCAAAATTTGCTTTCTAAAAAAGTAAAGTAGCCAGGCATTATGATGCACTCAGGAACAGAGGCAGGCGGGTCTGTGACTTTGAGGCCAAGCCAGGTCTACGTTGTGGGTTCTACAACAGCCAGGGCTACATAGTGAGACACTGTCTCAACCCCTACTTCCCCCTCACATATATGACAACTTTACTGTAAACATGCAGCTTATACTCAGACTAAGAACTCTTGCTTGTGCATTTAGGTGTCGCCAATGATGCTGGAAAGATCACACTGATACCTATTTCCATGAATACAACTCAAGAGTCCAAAGTTGAGAGCCCCATATCACTGACTGCTCAGTCTTTAATTGGTACTTCTCCAAAACAGACCCATCTGACTAAAGCACAAGACATTCATCTGACTGGAATAAGCAAACCAAAGAGAACTGGGTCGCTAGCACTATTTTACAGAAAGGTATGTGTTTCTATAGCATCTGAAAAGAACTAGTATAGTTAAGTCCAAGAAAGATTGAGTAACAGAACAACGTTGATCTTTTTCTTTTTTCTTTTTTGTAAAATAATGCATAGCATAAAATTTGCCCCATTAATTTTTAAGCATACAGTTTGGTACTAAATATATGTTTGCCACTGCCATCTCCAGAACTTTGAAACTCTGTATTTATTAAAGAAAAAGCCTGCATTTCTCCCCGCCCCCATCCTCAGACAACTACCGTCTGGTGTTTGAGCTTCTGTAGGTGTCCTATTTGAGTGAAATCATACAATAATTTGTCTTTTGTGTGACTGGCTTTTTACATCCATCTATCTGATAACATGTGTTGGAATTTGTTTCCGTTTCAAGGCTTAATAATAGTCTATGTATATATACTACATTTTGTTTATCTTTGCATCTGTTGGGCATTTGGCTATAATGAATATTTTTACTGTTTGAGTCTCTGCTTTCAGGGTTTTTTATTTTTATTTTTTTTAGTATATTCCTAGAAATGGAATAGTAACTCAGTATTTAATTTGTATATGAGTGTGTGTGTGTGTGTGTGTGTGTGTGTCTGTGTGTGTGTCTGTGCACATTAGAGGACAGCCTTGGCTGTCATTCCTCAGGTACCATCCACCTTGTTTTTTGAGTCTCTCATTCATCTGGAACTCACCAAGTAAACTAGGTTGGCTGGCCAGTGAGTCCTAAGGATCCATCTATCTCTGACTCCCCAGCAGTGAATTACAAGTGCATGCCACCATGCCGTGTGATCCCGGTGGGTGGGTGGGGGATTGAGAGAGAGAGAGAGAGAGAGAGAGAGAGAGAGAGAGAGAGATCTACTTTACTGACTGAGCTACTATATCTCCCCAGCCCTCAATACTTGATTTTTAAGCAATTCCACTCTATTTTCCACAATGACCATACCATTTTACATTCTTACCATCAGTGTACAACTTCTCCTTGTCAACATTTATTTTCTCAGCCTTTTTTTTTTGTTGTTGTTTTTGGTCTTTTTGAGACAGGGTCTCCCTGTAGCCCCAGCTGGCATGGAACTCACAGAGATCTGACTGCCTCTGTCTCCCAATTACAGGCCTGCGCCACCATGCCCAGCACCTCCCAGCACTTGGGAGGCAGAGGCAGGCGGATCTCTATGAGTTCAAGGCCAGCCTGGTCTACATAGTGAGTTCCAGGACAGCTGGGGCTACAGGGAGACCCTGTCTCAAAAAGACCCAAAAAAAAAAATTTAAATTAGTATTAAGTCATAAAAAGACTACATATGTAAAAGTCTCAGGGCATTGAACTGAATTTATTCTAATGTACTTAACTACAAAAATGCTTGTATTTCATACACTGTATTCCCATTGTGTACTCAAAAACCATAACACATAGAAGAAATGTTTTTAATGGTTTTGCTTCCTGAGTCATGTTCAGACTCAGAAAAATTCAGTTCTTTACTACCTGGCATATTGAACTTTCTAGCAATTTTACTTGAATCAGGAACACAAAGAGACATTTAAACACTTGAAAAAATTTGAATTCATAACAGTTATTTTGCAGGTAAACTCTGATTTTTACTTTTTCTTACTTTACATAGTTGATACCATAGAGTAATAGGCATCAGCTTTTAAAATGTAGAGATCAAAAGTCTGCTGAATGATGGCCCTTGAACAGGACTCCTTTATTTAAACTTCACCCACCCAAGGCTCAGGGACCATCTCAGAAGAAGGGGCAGAAAGATTGTAAGAGCCAGGGAGGAGGTGCATGACCATATGGAAACAAAGCCCTACAAGCTCCTGGGAACTTGCTCATATGATTCTATGGCAATGGTGTCAGCATACACAAGTCTCATGCAAACTCAGGCAGACAATAACCCAGCATAGAACTGGGAAAATGAACAGCAGATCCCAATCTTATCTGAAAGAATGTTGGCAACTGATTGCTGCTAGATGAAGAGCTGATCTTCCTAAAACAAGGGACTCTAGATAGGCTGACTAGACTCAGTGGACAGACTTGCACAGGGAAACGGCTTGGAACACTGACAACACAGTGGGCTTTAACAGGGATGACAGAGTATATAGGCTTCAGTGGGGGCACTATGGGAGGGGGCCAGTTGGGGACAGGGGTATAAAGATGATCAAAATTGAGATGTTCTGTATGAAACGCTTTCTAAATTCAGTCTTCCCAAAGCAATTTATTCATTCGCTTCCTTATAAATTGTTTTATCCTATGATTTAACTGTTTGTATCCTGAATTCTGTGTTATGTTTCAAATTTGCTTTGTAACTACATTAAAACCATCCCTTAAAATTTTTTAAAAAAGCCAGGCGTGGTGGCACATGCCTTTAATCCGAGCACTTTGGAGGCAGAGGCAGGCGGATCTCTGAGTTCAAGGCCAGCCTGGTCTACATAGTGAGTTCCAGGACAGCTGGGGCCATAGGGAGACCCTGTCTCAAAAAAACCAAAAAAATTAATAATAATTAAAAAAAGAGGGAATCATTAGTCTAACAACCTACTGACAGATTATACATTATCTCTACATGAGTCCATGTGTATAGCTAAAGGCTATATTACAAGAAACAGTGCCAGATGGGAGATACCTTCCTTTGAGTTGTTGGCCAGGGTGGTCCAAGAGACCAAAAATTACTCAGGCTATTGCCACAGACCTTGATGGCCTCCCAGAACTTGAAGGTAAGACCCTACTGCCAAAGACAGAACATACTTCGGACACAGGATTTGGAGCAATAGAGCTGCAACTGACCTGAAACCACTTCCCCTGAAGTCGAGCTCTCATAGCTTTGGAGAGCGCTATGGAGGTACAAGGGAAAACATCAATGGATGATCCAACACCAGCTTCAAGACCAAATGACCAGCACAGCATACATCATTGGTGCAGTAGTGGCACTTTTATCTTGTGGGCAGTCAACAGCTACCTAATTTGACTAAAAGCCCACTCAAAGGGAGGAAACTCAAGCGTGGTACTGTAAAAATAACCTAATACACATGGCTGGAGTGATCGTAGATCTTAGAAAAAAAAAGAATACATTCTATGTAGTTTTATGAAGAAAATTTTGCTTTAATCTGTAATTTCTTACCATAGCAGTAAACTAGTGCTGTGAAACAAAAATTTTAGATAATTTCTTAATTATTCATCGAATGTTTTTTAATTTTGGCCTATAAATCCATGTTCATAGTAAGAATAAACATTTAAGAAAGGACTTGCTATTTTGCGATAGTATGTTTTCTTCTATCTTAGGTCTATCATTTAGCAAGTGTGCGCTTACGTGATTTATGTTTAAAACTGGATGTTTCAAATGAATTACGAAGGAAGATCTGGACATGTTTTGAATTTACTTTAGTTCACTGCCCTGACTTAATGAAAGACAGGCATTTGGATCAGCTCCTCCTTTGTGCCTTTTACATCATGGCAAAGGTAATGTATAGGGTGGGAGAAAGTCCTTGCTCTAGTTGATGTAATTTGGAGCATCAGGTTAAAAAATCTATTGAACTTGACTCTTAGTTGGCCTTTAGTGCTGCAAGCCAGTATTTTATTAAGTAATATTATTAAGTAATAATTTTATACTACTATATTGACTGAACTCTCCTGTCAGTTTCATAATCATCAGCCTTCCCACTTTCCCATGGCTACATTGGTTTGGGCTACACCAAGTAGCCTGATAACCTGAATTTGATCTCCAGAACCCACAGTAGAAGGAGTGAACCAACTCCTCAACATTGTCCTCTGACCTACACACACACACCACACACTGTTTTTTGTTTGTTTGTTGTTGGTTTTTTGGTGGGGGTTTTTTTTGTTGTTTTTTTTTTTTGTTTTTTTTTGGTCTTTTTGTGACAGGGTTTTCCTGTAGTCTCTGCTGACCTGGAATTCACTGTGTAGACCAGGCTGGCCTTGAACTCACAGAAATCTGCCTGACTCCTGAGTGCTAGGATTAAAGACATGAGCCACCACACCTGGCTTGAATTTTTTTTTAAAGAGTACATTAGCTATAAAGGGATTAGTTGTAGCACCATTTCCACCTCTGTCCTGTGATATCTCTGATGTGATACTTTACAGTAAAATGATCACTACATTTAGATGAGTGAGTGAGGCCCAAAACTGAAAGTAACTTGACCAGTGTTATGCAATAAGTTGCAGCCTAGATCTCTTCATTTGTAACCTGGTATAAGATGGCTTCTGCACTATGTTGCCTTCCAGGGATATATTCTGCTGCTTGGCTGATTGTGCTTATTGCTTTTAGTCGCTACACCAGGTTTTACATCATAAAATAGCCCACCTTGCTTGCCTTTTAAAATTTTGACATAGCTAAGAAAAATCATTTCTAACTTCTACCTTGACTGCATTGGTCAAACTTGCAATCCTAGTTGGTACATAAAATTTTAGGAACTGATTTTTAAGCTTTTGAGGCAAAGAATATGTTTCTAAACACTAGTGATTTCTCCCTCCCCCACCAGTACCTCTTTAAAATCTCTATACAGTGTTAATGTTTTTAATAAATATTTGTTTTCAGAAATATGTCTGAATTCAGGCTCAGCTCTTCTATTTCTAGCTTGTCATTATAGAGAACAATATTAATGGACAGTGATGCAGGGGAGAGGATTAGTTTAAGTGAACTTTATAATAATGGATAACACAGAAGGGATTCCTTTTTAAATGGCTAATCTAGTTCCTTTCTTTGGGCCCACTGCTGTGACTTCTATCCAAGTTAGAAGCCCTACAGGCTGTCTCAAAATGTTAAAAACCTAATCTTATACTAACCACTCAGTTTTATTATGAATCACTATAGAACGTTTTCTGTCCTTCAGTAGATAGTTAATTTACTTTTAAACAAGTACTTAAAAGTAATAAAACTAGAGATTGTAGGGGCTTAAGCAGGTCTGAGTTTTTTATATCATTCCCTTTATAAAGTTCATTTTCAGTAGTTATACCATACCTATTCCAGTGATTTTTAATTAATGAAACTGTTAACTCCGTCCCCACAGGCCACAAAACCTGAACTTTAAAGGTAGCAAAAATCATAAATGTTGGTGGTTTTAGTCATGGGTTGGCCTGAGGTTAATGGCTTTCTGCAAGGCTGCTCTCAGTACCATACTATAATTGAAGTTTTTGTTCAGAGCCATTTTTCTTTCAAAAGCAATTGATGAATGGAATGTAGTTTTTATTTCCTTAGGTAACAAAAGAAGAAAGAACTTTTCAAGAAATAATGAAAAGTTATAGAAACCAGCCCCAAGCTAATAGTCATGTAAGTTATATTATTTTTCCCACTGTCCAAAAATAGATTTGTGCTATTTCTCTGCTGACAAGTCATATAAAAGGTAATGTCATTTGATAGTTTTACTGTAGTTTGGACTTTTTGGTTTAATGGATGCCATTAAATTTAAGAGATAGTTTTGTTAAAGGATAGTTTCAATAGAAGCCAGAAGATCTGTTTCTGACCCATCCATGTACTTACATATTCTTTACAAGTTCTGCCATTCCTTTGTTAATTTGATGAGAAGAGAGACGTTTTTCACCAGAAAAACCTAGTGAAAAATATGTATAACAATATTTCTTAATTATATGAAACTTGCTTAAGTCTCTAATAGTTAAGTCCAGTGAAATTTGAGGAGTTCGTAACTATAACTTCTGCTATCTGCATAGTCATCTTTGTTTGGTGTGGTTTGGGGTTTTTTAGGTATTTTTTTTTAATTTATTGAGCTTTTGTATATTTCATACAAGTTTTTAATCAAATTTAGATTACTTCCCCTACACAAACACACACCATACCAGACCTCATGCATTCTGAGGGCAAGTATCTCTAGATAGCTAACTAAACTCCAGTGGATGAATGTACATTAAAAGACATCTGGGTGCAAATGCTTGACTGGAAAGTGTTTTTTGTTTTGTTTTGTTTTTTGTCTTTTTTGGAGACATGGTCTCCCTGTAGCCCCAGCTGTCCTGGAACTCACTATGTAGACCAGGCTGGCCTCGAACCCACAAAGATCCGCCTGCCTCTTGCCTCCCAAGTGCTGGGATTAAAGTGGAAAGTGTTTTTTTTTCTTTTTAAATATTTTATTTATTATTTTTATTTTATGTGTACAAGTATATTACCTGTATGTATATGAGTGCAGCCGTGTCATGCAATGCTGCGGAGATCAGAAGAAGGCTTCAGCTTCCCCTGGAACTGGAGTTAAGGACAGTTCGTAGCCACCATGTGGGTGCTGGGAATCGAACCCGGGTCCTCTGTAAGAGCAGTCAGTGCTCTTAATCGCTGAGCCATCTCTCCAGCCCTGGAAAGTGTTTTTTGAGAGAGGGTCTCAGGTACCCCAAATCTATACTCAGACTTTTTAAAAAAATACATTTTATTTAACATTTTTATTTCTTTGTGTATGAGTGTATTGCCTACATGTATATGAGTGCACCCATGCCATGCAATGCCATGGAGGTCAGAAGAGGGTGTCACATTCTCCTTGAAGTGGAGTTAAGGATGTTTCATAGCTGCTGTGTGGGTTCTGTGTATGAATGTATTGCCTGCATATATGTAAGTGCAATGTCATACAATGCCCATGGGGCTCAGAAGAGAGCTTTGGATTCCCCTAGAGCTGGAATTATAGATGGTTGTTAGCCATGATGTGGGTCCTAGGAATTGAATCTGGGTCCTCTGCAAGAGCAGCCAGTGAGTGCTCTTAACCACTGAGCCATCTCTCTAGCCCCGTGGTAGTATTTTTATAATTGAATTGATATTTTGATCTTCTTATTTTGATTTTGTTTAATTTGTGCCTCTTTGCGACTCAGTATTTTTTTTTTCTCCCACTCTGGCTTATAGGTATATAGAAGTGTTCTCTTGAAAAGTATTCCAAGAGAAGTTGTGGCATACAATGGTGATTTTGAAATGACAGATGGTGGTAAGTTATCCAACTTAATATGCTATGTGTAATACACCTTTGATTACAGTGTACGTAATATAGTAGGTGTCTGACAACCTGGACTTAGGATTTGGGTGGGCTGAGCAATGCACTTTCCTTTTTTTTAAAGATTATTTTTGTGTATGTGTGTGTCTGTTTTGTGTATATGCATGTGTGCACAGATGCCCATGGAAGCCAAAAGAGTTGGAGCTGGAGTTACAGGTGACTGAGCCACCTGATATGGTTACTGGGAACTGAATTTCTGTCCTCTGTAAGAGCAGTATATACTTTTAACCATTGAGCCACATCTCTCTAGTTCCCTTTATTTTTTTCCTTGCAATGCTAGGGATAAAACCCAGAGCCTTAAGATTGCTAGGCACATGCTCTACCACTGTACTACACCCCCAGGCCTTAAAGGCAGTTTTAAAACTTATACAATTGTTGGGCGTGGTGGCGCATGCCTTTAATCCCAGCACTTGGGAGGCAGAGGCAGGCAGATCTTTGTGAGTTCGAGGCGAGGCCAGCCTGGTCTACATAGTGAGTTCCAGAACAGCTGGGGCTATAGGGAGACCCTGTCTCAAAAAGAGCCCCCCAAATTTTTTTTATTATTTTTATTTTATTGTATGAGTGTATTGCCTGCGAGCACACCTTTAATCCCGGCACTTGGGAGGGAGAGGCAGGCCGATCTCTGTGAGTTCAAGGCCAGCTAGGGCTACAGGGAGATTCTATCTCAAAAAGACCAAAAAAATAAAAATAAATTATACAACTATCAGTGATCACTGTAGTGATGGTGTGGTGTTGCGTGTGAAATTGACAGGATCTGAACTCTAGGAGATAAGCCTCCAGGCAGACTTGAGAGCAATTTTCTTAATTGGGTTCATTGAGGCAGGCAAAGGAAGAGAGCACCATTCCCTAGGCTTGGGTCCTAGACTGCATAAAAAAAGAGGACACTAACTGAGTATGAGCATTAGGCATTCTCTGCTTCTGACTGTGGAGGCTACTTGACCAGTTGCTGCAAGCTTCTGCTGCTTATATTTCCCTGCCATGATGGACTGTATCCTTGAACTGTGAGCCAGAATAAGTCCCTTCACCCTTAAGTTGCTTTTGTCAGAGAATTTTATCACAGCAACAGGAAAAATAACAAAGACTGGTGTGTACTAGGACTTAAACTTTGTTATCAAGCAAAAGATCCATTTTGCTAAATTTTATCACAACAACAAAAACAGAGAAATCATTTAAAAGAAGTGGGGAAGAAGGAAAGATTTCTTTTAGCTCATAATTTCACAGGTTTTGAGTTCATGGTCAACTGGCCCCATAATTTCTGGGCAGAATAGCATGGTGGAAGGTTATGTTCATCTCCCAGCATCAAGAGTCAGAGAGGTAGAAAAGGCCTGGGGGCTGAATATAACTTTTAAAGGCCCACCGCTCAGTCCTACTCTATTCAGCTAGGTCCTGTCTCCTAAAATTTCCACTACCTCCCAAAATAATGTCACCAGCTAGTGATCAGGACTTCAACCATGATATTTATTTTTATTTTATGTGTATGAGTATTTTGCCTGCATGTCTATAAGTGCACCACCTGAGTATCTGGTGCCAGAGGAGGCCAGATGGGAGTGTTGGATCCCTTGGAACTAGATTTACAGATGATTGTGAATCACCATCTGCATACTGAGAACAGAACCCAGTCCTCTACAAGAGCAGTGAATGCTTATAACTGCTGAGCCCCCTCTCCAGCCACTGGTCCCATTTATTAAATCTTCACAATGGGGCCAGGCATGGTGATGTAGGCCTTTAATCCCAGCGCTCAAGAGAGGTAGGCAGATCTCTGTGAGTTCAAGGCCAGAGTCTGGTCTACATAGGGAATTCTAGGCCAGTCGGGGCTACATGAGATCCTGTCTTTTAAAAAAAAAAAAAGCCAAAAAGCCACTTCACAATGGGAATTATTTCAATGTGAAGTTTTTTTTTGTTTTCAAGAGCATTCAAACTGTCCCGAACCCGCGGGATCTGCAACAGGGTACCTGGATTGGGGAGTGGGGACTTGGATGGGGCAAGAGACAAGAGAAATGGAGACAAGACAGCGTTCTGATCAAGTCTCGTTTATTGCAGCACAAGTATGAGGTTAAATAAAGAATGAGAACAAAGGAGTAAAGATTGAGAGTAATTATATCAGCCAGACCGCAGGGGCCCAAATGTACTCTAAGGGAGGAATCTACTGATTAACGGAAAACAGGGCAGTTTACTGGAAAAGAGTACAAGGCCGCGGGCTCTGTCCCGTGCCCGCGGGAGGAGAGTGGGCAGAATGGAAAGTTACCAGCTTAGGTCTGTCAGCAGTTTTGAAAAATGGCTGAGCCTCAGGCTCCCAACATCAAACCATAGCATCAAGCCTGTATGCTTCTGAGCAGTGTTTTAGGATGGTAGTGTTATGGGGAAGGAGAGACTGCATTAAAAAAAAAATGAGGAGCCAGGGCTGGAGAGATGGCTCAGCAGTTAAGAGCACTAGCTGCTCTTGCAGAGGACCTGTGTTCAAATCCCAGCACCCATATTGTGGCTAGCGATCATTCGTAACTCCAGTTCCAGGGGAATCTGATGCCCTTCTCTGATCTCCTTGGGCATTACACAACACAGGTGCACTTACATACACGCAGGCAATACACTCATACATATAAAATAAAAAATAATAAAATATTTTTTTTAAATGAGGAATCTATGCTGTTAAAGTCAACATTTGTTTTTTCCAACTGCAGTACTTCTCAGAGCCCTTAATATACTAACATGCTCTCTGCATTTCCAATGTTCTGTGCAATATTTCCTCATTCTACTCAGCCACATAGACCTCCCCCTCTCCCCCAAATCAACTCTTTCAGAAATAATCACAATAAAACTGACCCAGGACTATTCAATCCCTTGTCTAGCATAGAATCTGGCTTCAAGCCCCAGAACTGTGGGAGTGGCAGAAGACATCTAGATTAGGACTGAGACCCTTTTGGAGGTTCCCTGGGGTTCCATGAACTGTTTAGTTTTGGGTTTTTCCTAAGGTGAAAGTTTGTTTCCCATGTTCTCAGTGTTTGAAGGCCATTGTGTTGACATGAGAACTCACTTTTGAGACACTGAATTACTTTTAATTGGCAGAGTTCTGACCTCCTGTAAAGAAATAGATGAATGAAATTATAGTTTATCATTATTTTCCTTAAATAATAGTAGACTAAAGCTCCACCTTAAGTCAGAATCTATTCCTTAGTATAACACTAATACATAGGAAATCACATTGGAGCAGGCTGTTATTTTACAACTGAGGATGCTAACAACTTAACAACTAGCTGGAAACTAGCTTTCCTGTTGAGCATGGGAAAGTAAGACTCCTAGAACACATACTAGCCAGTTATGCTGGTTCCTGCCTATAATCCCAGAACTCTGGAGATTGAGGCAGGAAGATTGCTGCAAGTTTGAACTAACCTCTGAAGGAGACTATTTCAAAACAAACAGAAAAGCCTACTACTTGCCTTGGGTTTGTAGAAGGATGAACACAAGCAATTCATTTTGCTTCTTTCTTAAATTATGAAGATAGGCTTTACCTTTTAGAGTCTTTCTGCTTTTTTCAGAGAACCAATGCGAATATCTGCAGAGCTTTTGTAAGCTGAAGCTCAAGGTTTGTCACTGTCACGTATTCTACAGAGCTTAGTTAAACCCCAACCCAAGCTGGTACCCCTTTAAAGGCTACCAGTGACAATGAGATAAAAAACTGGTTTGAAAGCATGTTTGCTGAAGTGCTTTCTAGAGAAAAGAGCACCACCTTCAGTTCACTAGGTTCTTAGATTCTTTGTCTAAGATAGGGTCTCCCTGTAGCTCCAACTGGCCTAGAATTCACTGTGTAGACCAGGCTGGCCTCAATGTAACAGATCTGCCTGCCTTTGCCTCCTGAGTGATAGAATTAAAGGCGTGTACCACCATGCCTGGAATATTTCTCTGGATTCTAATTTGATTTTTTTTTTTCCAGTCTTTTTGAGACAGGGTCCCCTGCAGCCCCAGCTGGCCTGGAACTCACTATGTAGACCACGCTGGCCTTGAACTCATAGAGATCCACCTGCCTCTGCCTCCCAAGTGCTGGGACGACAGGTATGTGCCACCAGGCCCGGCTGATTTTTTTTTTTTTTTAAACAGAGTCTTGTGGTGTATCCCAGGCTGGCTCTGAACTCTTGATCCTCATGCCTCGGCCTTCCAAGTGCTGAGGTTTGCAAACGTGTCACCACACTACCAATTTAATTTATAAAGTATGTATATTTCTCTGAAAATAGTTGCTTTTCATAAGGATTTGTGTTTATATTTTTATTTTGTTAAATGTGATCCAAATCACTAACTTAAATATTATAGTACGCTTATCACAACACTGAATTTCTTTTTATTTATTTATTTATTTACATAAATAATTTATTGAACACTGAATTTCTTTTAACAGACGTAGAAGATGCCACAAAAACACCCAACTGTTGCAGTGGCCCAGTGAAAGAAGAAAGAGGTGATCTCATCAAATTTTACAATACAATATATGTAGGAAGAGTGAAATCATTTGCATTGAAATATGATTTGTCCAATCAGGACCATATGGTAAGTCTTAAGTTTTGTTACTTTTCAAATATCTAAGTCTAAGCAGGGCATGGTGGTTCACACCTTTAATCCCAGCACTCAGGAGGCAGAGGCAGGCAGATCTCTGTGACACTGAGGCCAGCCTGTTCTACATAGCAAGTTCTGGGCTATAAGGAGACCTTGTATCAAAAAACAAAATCAAAAAATCAAAAACAGAAAGCCGAAGTCTAATATCTAATTGGATTACTCTGAGCATATTTTGCTAGGTAAGTATTTCACAGGTTGAAGCCCCACTGGTGCTTTATAAGAAAATATATCTTAGCAGTTAATCAGAAAATGATTTAAGCCTGCTGGGCGTGGTGGCACACACCTTTAATCCCAGCACTCAGGAGGCAGAGGCAGAAAGAGCCTGACCAAAGCCAGCCCACCTCAGAGAGTTTGTGTCATTTTTCTTAGTTATTTTTTGAAAGAAGTAGGCCTTGCCCTTTAATAAAGCTAATAGAACCTAGTTCTGGCAATAGCAGCAGGCCTGAGAAAGTGTTTTCAGTGTCTAAACTGAGACTGGGCCCTAAACTGGGTATAATGACATATATTTGTAGTCTCAGCACTTGGGAAACTGAGGTACAAGGATCATGAGTTTGTCAGCCTGGGCTACATAGTAGCAAGACCCTGTCTTTAAAAAAAAAAAAAAAAAAAAAAAAAAAACGATGAGGGCTGCAGAGATGGCTCAATAGTATACAAGAACATGAGGAGCTGAATTTGGATCTTCAGCATCCATGAAAAAAGCCAAGCAGGGCAGTATAGCCTATAATTGAATGCTGGGGAGGCAGAGACAAGCAGATCCCTGGGACTTGCTGACCAGCCAGTCTAGCTGAATTGCTGAGCTTCAGGTTGAATGAGAATGACTGAGGAAGGCATCCAACATGAACTTCCATCAGCATACACACCTGAATACACATACATGTACACACACACACACACAAAAGGTCTGATAAAAGCTGCATCCAGCCTATCAGAACCGTGTTTATATCTGTGTGTTGCTCTACATTTCTGTTCCTCTCCTTTCCAGGGAATAGGTTTATGGCTAGCCTCGGCATATACAACCCAACTTCATTATTCCAGCTCCTCTGTCAAGTGCTACACTATGAGTACCTTTATCATCCAGTTGAAACTTGGTTGGTTGGGTTTTTTGTGTGTGTGTGTGGAGTTTTGTTTCTTGTTTTCTAATACTTGAAATTGAACTCAGGGCCTCACATATGCTAAGCACGTGCTCCATCATTGAGCTATATTCCCAGCTCTAAAAACTAGTTTTAATAACTTCAAGTGAAAATAAATGAATGACAGGGGCTGTTTTCATTGATCCTATTTCTGTGATAGAGATTATCAAAGAATAGTGAAATTCCTGCTCACCCATTTCTAAACCTTTTCCATTGCTACATGAAGTCTTCCCATTTCATTTACTTTTTGTCCCATCTTGGACTGTCCTTCTGACTAACAGAATTCTCTGCCTCTTTTATTGTCTCTTGTACTGTGTCAGCTATGGTATATGTATATATAGAGAGATTATTATTACAAGAGTTAGAACATTGATTACTCTTTGTCCCTACTATCCTTTTTTCATTTTGATGCAAAATATTGAACCTAGGTCATTCTGTATACCAGTTACAATCTCTACCACTGAGCTATACCCCATCCCAGCTCCTACTTTCAAAGCATGAACACAAGGTTCCCCCTGTTATTACCTTACCACTCCAGGTGACTTGTCCTAGCCTTTTTTGTTTTTTATTTAATAACCACATACTTAGAAGCATTTCATTACAGCAGCATTGAAATTCAGTAACAATTTCCTAAGCTAAGATGCATCTCTTTCAAAATTGGCTGTAAATTTTTAGGTTTACAGTTGAATTATTACAGTTATACAATATTGTACCCAGTATAAACCGTATAAGACATAATTGAGGTTTTAACCTTTGAAAAAGATCTCCATTTCATTATTAAAATACACAGTTTCATACAGAAAAATTCATCTTTAATGCAATTGACATTAAGATGTTTACACATGTGTTTCTAATCTCTATATATCTGATTATTACTAGTCACAGTCGGTTACTTTCTGAGCTCCTTGGCATCTGAGCATGCATATAAAGTCCGCTAGTGGTGGCCTTTTTTTTTTTTTAAGACAAGATCTTCCTTTGTAGCCAGGCTAGCCTTGAACTTATTATTCTTCTGCCTTACTTCCTGAGTGCTGGGATTACAGATATGTGCCAGCATACCCAGATTGTCTAGAATTCTTAAAACTAATTATAGATTTCCAGTATTATTTAGTAAAATAAATTCTAGCTTATTTATTGATAGTTGATTAAAACAATGAGTAATGGAATTTTTTTCAGTCAGAAATAAGCTCTTAAGATGTCACTGACTTCGAAGAATGAGTATAAGAAAGAAAATATGGCTGGGCATGGTGGCGTATGCCTGTAGTCCCAGCACTTGGGAGGCAGAGGCCGGTGGATCTCTGTGAGTTCAAGGCCAGCCTGGTCTACATAGTGAGTTCCAGGACAGCTGGGGCTACAGGGAGACCCTACTTCAAAAAGACAAAAAAAATAAATAAAAATAAAAAAAAATGGTAGTGTTATTAAAAAAGAAAAATTTTTATCTTAAAAATCTGATTTCTATACTATTTTAGATGGATGCTCCACCCCTCTCTCCTTTTCCACACATTAAGCAACAGCCAGGCTCACCACGCCGTGTTTCTCATCAGCATTCCATTTATGTTTCCCCACACAAGAATGGGTCAGGCCTTACACCAAGGAGTGCTCTGTTGTACAAGTTCAATGGCAGCCCTTCTAAGGTAAGATGCATAGTCTTTACTGCACAACAGCTTATGTACCTATTTATTCAAAGTAGGATTTTCAAGTAATTTCACCTCCCCAAATTGAATTTCAGTTTATCAATCAGTAGTCATTAATCTTTTTTTTGTTTTTGTTCTTTTTTTGTTTGTTTGTTTGTTTGTTTTTTTGAGGCACGGTCTCCCTATAGCCCAAGCTGGCCTGGAACTCACTATGTAGACCAAGCTGGCCTTGAACTCACAGAGATCCGCCTGCCTCTGCCTCCCAAGTGCTAGGATTAAAGGTCTGTGCCACCACACCCGGCCATAAGATTTTTTTATTTATTTATTTTTAATTTGTTTATCCTTTTGAGACAGGGTTTCCTTCTAGCCCCAGCTGTCCTGGAACTCAGTATGTAGACCAGGCTGGCCTCGAACTCACAGAGATCCACCTGCCTCTGCCTCCCGAGTGCTGGGATTAAAGGCATGCGCCACCACACCCAGCAGAATGTTACAATTTTTAATGTGGTGTGTTTTGTTTTGTTTTGTTTGTTTGTTTGTTTCTTTAATAAGAGTGCCTCAAGCCGGGCATGGTGGCACACGCCTTTAATCCCAGTACTCGAGAGGCAGAGGCAGGCGGATCTCTGTGAGTTCAAGGCCAGCCTGGTCTACATAGTGAGTTCCAGGACAGCTGGGCCTACAGGGAGACCCTGTCTCAAAAAGACCGGAAAAAAAAAAAAGAGTGCCTCAATACATCTCCAAGCAGATCTTAAAGTCCTAAGGATTATAAGCCCATGCTTATGTGGGGAATGTTAATTTTAAAGAGACCTCCTCTTCTGTCCACTTAGGGAGATACTAGCTCCATCTTCATCTCGATTCAGTGATGGAGATATGTGAGGACTATGATTTTTCAGATATTTCTGAGACTATACAGCAGTATCTAAGTTTCCAGAAGCCATAATTAGTATTACTTGGATAAAATTTTATTAATGCAACAACAGCTCCTTAAGCTCCTCAGTTTCCTGTTTGGTTCTACAGTTACTGAGTTCTTACTTGTCAAAGAAAATTGACTAAGATGGAGACTCATATTTTGTGTAAGGATGTTTAGAAGGTACTAGACCATCTGGTGTCTAAGGCATTGATTCCAAAACAAGAGACAAAATCACCTGGAGAGCCTCCTGAACACTGATACCTGTCCCACAGACCTGTTGAATCACGAAGAACTAGCAGGCAAGTCCAGCTGATAACAAATGCTCCAGATAACTGTTAATGCAGTTTCAAGAACCTCTTCTCCAAGCCCTTCCTACTCAGATGTGGTTCCTGAGCCAGCAACATCAACTGGAAGCTTGTCATAAATAGAGAATCATAGATCCAACATCAGCCCTGCTAAATCTGAGCCTTCACATTGTTTAGATCCCCAGACAATTAGTAGGCTCATTAGCATTTAAAAGCATTTACTGTGGTATACCAGGTGTTAGTGGTGCATGCCTGTAATCTCTGCAGTCAGAGACAAATGCAAGCAGAACTTTAGAAGTTCAAGGCTAGCCTTGGCTACATACATATTGACTTCTAGACCAGCCTCAGCTACATAGTGAATCCTGTCTCAAAACAAAAGAAAGAAAAGAAAAAAAAGACTAGTAAGTTGGCTTAGCAAGTAAAGGTACTTGCCATCAAGCAATCAAGCCTGAGTAAGTTGGATCCCTGGGACCCACATAGTGGACAAAGAGAGCGGGCTCCTGCAAGTTGTACTTTGATATTCATATGCATGCTGTGGCAGGTGAGCATCCACACATCCACAGACACACAAAAGTAATTTAAATATATGTATATATAAAATGTAAAGGAATAAAATATGATTATTCTGAAGAAGATGATTTTTTTTTTTTTTTTTTGGTCTTTTTGAGACAGGGTCTCCCTGTAGCCCCAGCTGGCCTTGAACTCACAGAGATCCGCCTGCCTCTGCCTCCCGAGTGCTGGGATTAAAGGCATGCACCACCATGCCCGGCTTAGAAAAGGATTTTTGACTTTAGGAAACATCAGAATCCCTAGCAATGTGAGTGAAACTGCTTGGTGCACAAGCCTCATAACCTGAATTCAGTAACCTCAGTGGAATCCACAGTGGAAGGAGAGAACCAACTACCAGAACTGTCCTCTGACCTCTCTACACACAACTCACACATTTTATATATACACACACACAGTGTTAAATAAAAATAAAATAAATAAAACATTGGTTGCTAGGCCCTACCTCAAAATGCCTGGCTCAGAAAGTGAATAGTGAGGCTTAAGAATTTGCATTTCTACCATAACTTCCTGAGTACCTCTCCTGCTTCTGGTCTGGGGACTACATTTTGAATTGCTGTTATAAGATACATCCATCTTTTAAAACCACTCAAAAAGATTAGTGTAACCACCCTATTAAATTTGTCTAAATTAAAGGAATAATTTCCACCCTATTTTTTAGATTGAGGTAGAAGCTGGGCTTGGTGGCACACGCCTATAGCCCCAGCACTTGGGAGGCAGAGGCAGGCAGATCTCTGTGAGTTCAAGGCCAGCCTGGTCTACATAGTGAGTTCAGGTCAGCTGGGACTACAGGGAGACCCTCTTTCAAAAAGACCAAAAAAAAAAAAAAAAAAGAAAAATGGATTGAGGTAGAAGATGGAAGGTGAGGAAAAAGCAGTTGACTTAGTGCTTATTTTCCTTTCCCCACCTTTTACACATGTCCTCTCTTTTGTAGAGTTTGAAAGATATCAACAACATGATAAGGCAAGGTGAGCAGAAAACCAAGAAGCGAATAATCACCAGCAGTGGAGATGCAGAGTCACCTGCCAAACGCCTCTGCCAAGAAAACGATGATGTTTTACTTAAACGACTACAGGATGTTGTCAGTGAAAGAGCAAATCACTAACATCATTCCTGTTTCTGATAAAAGCACTTTTGAGCTGTTGTGAAGAAAGTTGAGACTCTATCCTTTAAACCTTACTTACATTGCTGGGTTACACAAAAATTTGCACCAAAAGTAAGCACTTTTGTTTTTTAAACATTTACCTGAATTATATCTGACAGACATACATGTATTTTGAGTTAGATTGGAAAAGAATGTTTTTAAGTGCCTTTACAAATATGAGTAAGAATTTTTAGAATGTTTATTCCTTGGGTTACTCTTTAAGATGAATTAAGGGGAAACATCCTTATTTTTTAGCTTTCTTTTAAAAATAATCAAATGTTCCTGTGCTTTGTTATATGAGGTTAAATAATCTTTTAGTGATTCTACTTTGATACTTGTATTATCAACTTACTATTGAAGGTAGAGGTTAGTTCCCTTAGTATATGGGCTGAGTAATGTGCCAACCTGTCTCTGGCCCATTGGTAACTCTACACTGGATGCCACTGCTGTGCTGGGTTATCTGTGTCATTTGTCCTCTTCCTCTCTTTGAGTATAAACAGCTTTGTAACTGAGCCCCTACAATGCCTCCACTTCCTGCTTTCCAGTCCTGGGCGCTCTTAGCCTGATGTTACAACCCAGTGAAAGGGGCACTTGCTCATTTTTTAAACTACTGTAGTTAGGATTTTTCATGACATTAAATTATATGTGATCGTATTCAGTCATGTATTTCTAAAAATAGAAAACTGATTTGTTTTGTTGTTGTTGTTGTTGTTGTTTGAGACAGGGTCTCTCTGTAGCACCAGCTGGCCTGGAACTTTCTATATAGATCAGGCTGGCCTTAATCTCACAGAGATCCACTTGCTTCTGCTTCCGGAGTACTGGGATCAAAGGTATGTACCACCATGCCTGGCCTTGGAAACTGCTTCTTAATCTGATAGAATAAAATTCAGATAAAGTTATGAGAAACTAAACTTCGTTAAGAAAGTAGCACTATGAGAAGAAAATTCATTCTTGTTGGGCATGGTGGGACATGTCTATAATCCCAGAACACAGAAAGATTGCTGGGAGTGTGAGGCTAGCCTGGGCTACAGAGCAACACCCTGAGTCTAAAAAGATAAATTATTCATTCTCGTTATCTAATTAGTTTCCTGAAAAAATATCTGAAATCTTTTTTAAAATCACACTGAAATCACCTCATGCCTTATAATTTGAATGATTCTGTACAAGAGATGCTTATTATTTCTTTTCTATGTTACCTTGTTTGTTCCAATTATCATTAGTTTATCACTAGTTTTCCATTGGTGTTTAACCTCTGGGTCCCCTTGAAGGTTTTTCCACTACTGGAGGTACAGCCTCCTAAATAATCAGATCTTCAACACTCACTTTTTCTCTTGTGTTTATAAAATCTGGAAGGATGTAAACAAGCCATTCTTAATTTTGAATCGATATCAATACAAATATTTTTAGCTGCAAACCTTATTTTTTTTAATGTATAATGTTGGGCTGACAGTGTAGCTCAGCAAAATGTTTAACTTATCTAGCCCTAGCTAATTTGAATTACTCCAAAATTTCACTGTCAGTTAATGAGAGTAATATCAGCAATTTTATTTTTAAATTTTAAAAAGAAAGCCGGGCGTGGTGGCACATGCCTTTAATCCCAGCACTTGGGAGGCAGAGGCAGGCGGATCTTTGTGAGTTCGAGGCCAGCCTGGTCTACATAGTGAGTTCCAGGACAGCTGGGGCTACAGGGAGACCCTGTCTCAAAAAAGACAAAAAAGAAAAATTTTTAAAAGAAAGATTTTGTTACGTTTTATTTTTCTGAAAATTTCATTTTCATGTTTCGTGTAGTATCTACACTTGTTATATGCCAAGTAACAGTTTGTCTTCAATCCTTGTACATATTTCTATGTAGCTGTAACTATTGTATCATTTTCATTATTAATGTACAAAATATAAATGAGAATTTGTACAATGACTGTAAAAAAACCTCAGGCATGTTTTTACCAATTTTCCGGACTTTATATCAATGTACGTAAAATCATTAATAAAAATTAAAATTTTTAAAATTATTTAAAACTATTCTTGTGCTTTTTACTGTATAACTCAGAAATAAATGTGCAGCCATCTGAGATAAGCATGGGCTGCTCTCTTCAGAGGACCCCAAGTTCAGTTTCCAGCTCCCACATTGAGTGACTCATACTGGCTATAACTCCAGCTCGTATATGTGCATACACCGACACACACACACAAATACATACATTTAAAAAAAAAACTTTAAAAATGTATAAAAAAGAAAAATAAATTTAAAATACTTATTTTGAAAGTATTTTATATTTAAAATATTCTTCAGCAGAGCTTTAAAAAGTAATGTTCCTGGTTTGGGGGTCTAGAAGGAGACTGGAAAATGACTACTTAATGAGCACAGAGGGGTTTTTGTTTCTGTCTGATTTTGGGGAGACAGGGTCTCATAACATAGCCCTGGCTGGCCTGGAACTCACTGTGTAGACCAGGCTGGCTTCCAACCACAGAGATCTTCCTGCCTCTGCCTCTTGATTGCTCAGTTAAAGGTGTGTGCCACTACACTCAGCTTTTTAAAAAAATTTTTTTTGATGATTTCATACTTATACATATGATTCTGGTCTCATTCATCCCTCCACTCTCTTATTCTACACTCCATCATCCCCCTCTCCTGCCACCAAGTCCCCCAATCTCACTTTCGCGTCGTTTTGCTTTTGCTTTGTGACCCACTGGGTTCAACCAGGGCCACTGAAAAGCATGGGCCTGGGTATGAAGCTGTCCACTGGAATACAGATAATGCACCAATGTGGCCCCATCACTAATAATGACTTCCTTTGCCCCAGCAGCTCCAAGGCCCCTCTAGGAGCATTTACCAGCTCAGTCTTGTGCAGGCCCTGTTCAAGTAGCTACAGCTGTTCCGAGTTCATGCAGGATTCAGAGTTTTCTTTTGACATGATGAGACTATTTTAGAACTTGAAGGCCGGGCATGGTGGTACACACCTTTGATCCCAGCACCTGGGAGGCAGAGGCAGGAGGATCTCTGTGAGTTCAAGGCCAGCCTGGTCTACGTAGTGAGTTCCAGGACAGCTGGGGCTACAGGGAGACTCTGTCTCAAAAAGACCAAAAAAAAAAAAACCTTGATAAAGATGGTAGATGGATAATATTATGAATTTATTAAATGCCTCTGTACACTTTAACTTTGTTATATGAATTTCACCTCAATTAAAAAAAAACAGCAGGAAAGCTGGGTTAGCAGTTAAATTCTCACAACCAAAAATCCCAAACAGACACAGGCTGGAGAGACTCAGTGGTTAAAAGCACTGACTGCTCTTGCAGAGGACCTAGGTTCAATTCCTAGCACCTACATGGTGGCTAACAACTATCTGTAACTCCAGTTCCAGGGTATCTGACTCCCTCTCCTGGCCTCTGTGAGCATTACCTATGTACATGTAGACAAAATACTCATACACATAAAATAATGTTGGCCTGGTGGTGTTGAGCTGGAGAGATGGCTCAGCAGTTAAGAGCACTGGCTACTCTTGCTGAGGACCTGGGTTCAATTCCCAGCACCACACGCCAGCTAACAATTGTCCGTAACGCCAGTTCCAGGGGAATCTGATGCCCTCTTCTGATCTGCACAGGCACTGGTGCACCTATCTATGTGCAGGCAATACATAGTCACATAAAATAGAGATAATTTTAAAAAAAAAAGCACAGAAATGAGCTGGGGAGGCAGCTCAATTGATAGAGCACCTGCCTAGCATGCATAAAGCCCTAGGTCCAATCCCCAGCATAACATAAAACTGGGCCTGGTAGTGCACCTCTGTAATCTCATCACTTTGGAGATGGAGGCAGGAAGACCACCAATTCAAGGTCGTCTACATAACAAGTTTGAGTTGAAGACCGACCGGCCTGGTGTACATGAATGAAGAGACCCTGGAGACAGAGAGGGGCAGGGGTGGGGAGACCATTTATTGCCTGTTCCCGTGTTTGACCTAACGTCCTTGTTAGGCAAATCTTTTGGAAATGTACAAACAGACCCCTAGCTTCCAGCAACCCCAAAACTAAGAATGTTGTCAGATAGTATCCAAGACCTACAACATATTTATCCATTGCAGTCCACCTACCTGATGTTTCCACCAATGTATTTGTTTTTTGCTTATAATTTTTTTGTTTTGTTACCATAAAAACTTTATGAAACCATTACCAAATTGGAACACAGTCTTTGGAGCAATCTGAATCTATGTTCATGGGCCTTGCTTGCTCATATTTAGCTCCAGAATATACTAGTTCTCCTTTCTTTCCTTTGAGGTTAGAGTTATATTTTTTATTACAAGAAGAATGAAATTATGTCATTTGCAAGAAAATAAGCGGATCTGGAATTCATCGTGTAAAGCTAAATATGCTCACTCAGACAAATATTGCCTGTTTTCTCTCATGCAGAATCTAGATTTTTTTAAAGTCTTTATGATAACTCAAATGAAAAAAAAGTTCAAGGAACTACATAATGTGTATACTGTCAGGAGCCATGCTTGACAGAAGCATTGGAAATTAGAAGAGTGCCACTTTAAGAGCTTCTGAGCTCTCCGCTTCAGCGGTTTGAGCTGACAGGCTGTACCTGCATGATAAATCAGGTCTTCTAGAAAGTTAGTTTCGGTTCGGTCTGCAGGCACCGGAAGATGCAGCTACGTGCTGTATCCATAGTAACTTTTTTGTTTCTGTTAGGAAAATCTCCTTGGTGACCCCAACTCTGAGTCCTATATAAGATCTGTGAACCCTACAACAGGGCAGCCATCTTGTAATCACTCCCCTACCTGTAACTTTTCTTTAAATAAATTCCTCATAAAACTTCAGACTTTTGTCTGAGTTTCTTTCTTGTTGAAGACCCAAGCCTGGTGGACTTGGGGGGCATTCGACAGTATACAAACATTTATATGAAAATCTGGAAAAGGCAAAACTAGAGTGACAAACTGACCCAACAGTTGTCCAGGTGTGGAGGGTGAACACCATTCAGGAAGGACAGGGAAAGAGGTCAGAGGCACAAGGAAAAGCAGCTCCATCCAGGAGCTCTTCTAATGGTTAGACTAGCTAAGAGTTTCCCCTCTGCTGTTCCTCAGCCTGCCTAGCAAACCCATGTTGGCAAAAGATGAGCTGATACTAGATTTAAAATATGAGTTATGATTAACTCAGCAATGAGTTTTAAAGGGCTCTAAGTAGTCTTTTTACCTGAGGAAACAGTCTAGTCACTCCCTTATGTGTTTGAGCATTCCAACCCTGAAAAGCAGTTATTTCTATCCCAGACAGTCATTCAAAGGAGTCACTCTATACTTCATAGGATGAGATGGCTCTCTGTCAAACAGTTTAAAAGCAATAGATAGACCTTCTAGTCAACTTAAATTACAGAAAAAGAATTCCAAACCTAAGTACAAATTACAAAACACTTAGTATATGTATGTGACCCTGGACAAGTCATTTCACCTCTCGGAACTTTGTTTCTTTACCTGTTAATTGTCTATAACATCCAGGGTCTTTGTCTACTGGGACTAGACTTTGCCTTTTGAGTAAAGGAGTTAAATGTGACCTAATTAGGTCAATCATCATACAGTGTTGTCCACAGTAGTTAGTCCAGGATGGAGGCCATCCACATTTGGTGGAGTCGTTCTCTCATGATGTTCTCTTGGAGATGGAGAGGCTCCCTCGTCCTCACAGCTCTGATAGCCTGTAGCCCCCCATTTGTACCCTCTGTTTACTCCACCTCAACCACACTGGCCTCCTTGCTATTTCTCAACTCCAAGCACGCTTCCTCTCAGAGAACTTGCTGTTTCCTCTTTCTGGAATGTTTTTCTTCTATCACATACATGATTCCTTCGTGTTGTTCTAGTTTCTGCTCAAATAGCAACTTTTCCAAAGGCCTTTTGTGACCAGCTTACCCAAGATGCTGACCCTGTCTGCCTCACTCCTAATCTTTTTTAAAAATTGTCTTACTTTTAAAAAGATTTTAAAATTTCTTTTTATTTTATAGTGTGTTTTGCCTGCATGTATGTTTGTACACCACATGCATGCTGTGCCCACAGCCAGAAGAGGATGTCAGATCCCCTCAAACTGGAGTTATAGATGGTTGTTAGCTGCCATGGGGGTGCTGGAAACAACCTGGATCCTCTGCAAGAACAACCAGTCCTCTTAACTGCTGAGCCATCTCTCCAGCCCCAACTCCTGATCTCTTAATCTGCTCTATAATTTTTTGTAGCAACAGCTTCTGACAACAACTTCCTATTGTTAATTATATTATTGTTCATTACCAGCCCTCCCTCTAGAATATAGGTTTCACTAAGCAGGGATTTTTGTATGTTTTAATTGATGTGTCCCAGGTGTCAAGAGCAGTGCCAGGCAAATTCTAAGTACCTAGTAAACAAAACACTCATATTTGATGGATGAATGAATCTCTGTGTCTGTGTGTGTCTGTGTGTGTGTCTGTGTGTGTGTCTGTGTGTGTGTGTGTGTGTGTGTGTGTGTGTGTGTGGCTGAGGGCATCATGAATGCTACATAAGTGTTCTACCACTAAGCTATGCCACCAGCCCCAACCCAGTACTAGTGTGTGTATGTGTGGTATATGTGTATATATGTATGTGGGTGTGCATACCCATGTACATGCCCTTGTGTACATGCAGAAGCCAGACAATGATATCAAGTGTCCTGCTCTATCAC